GCCCATACCATTCATTCACCAATTTACATATAAAGTATATTTATGTATCAAAATTTCAATTTTTTTGAATTCAACATTACTGGTGAACTTTGAGTGGGATTTAATATTAGTGTGACTTGGTTTACTCCCATGGAGTCTGTTGGAAATAGTGAGTGACTAATATTCCCATGGAATCCATTTCATTGTATTTATAGATATGGATGTGTTCCCAGTCAAAAGTCAATGGGATAGTTCAGTGGTACTACTTTTTGATTATGGGTCGAGTAAATGGTTAGGGGTTGCAATGCATTGCACCTACGACAGAGAATGGATACACTGGGGACCATTATATATTTGGTATATAAATTTTATGATTGAGTAATTTACAAAGTTTACCAGGAATTGATGTGCGAGTTACTAGGACACGCTTTACCAGTTGGACTAGGGTTAGGGTTATTAATTGTTGCTTACAAATATGTTGTAACCCTTTGGATTTTGATATAATAAGGAAAATTCATTCATGTGGATATAGGCAGGATTTCAACTGATTCACGTTATCTTGTGTTCTTGTTTTCTTGATTTTTCTCTTTCTTGATTGTTCACTTGCATGTTCACAACAACTTGGTACTAGAGCTAATGGTTACTCAATCTAATGACATGAAACTCTACAATGGCAAGTATGAAGTCATGATATTTGATGACATGGGAAACTTTGGGTCAAGGCAAAGAAATGTTAAGGAATTTGTTAGTCCAGTATGGATTGGTGAAGGTGTGGGAAGAAAAAGCGAAGAAACCAAAAAATATGTTGGCAGATGACTGGCAAGATTTCCATATGAAGGTAGTGATTACAATTCGTCTCTATCTGACGGATGATGTTATATGCCATGTCATGGATGAAGAATCTCATTCAGCTATGTGGAAGACATTGGAGAGCCCATTCATGTTGAAATTTTATTGAACAAGCTCTATCTTAAGCAGAAGTTGTATGGGCTTAAGATGGTGGGTGGTTCTGAGCTAGCTCAACACTTTAGTCTGTTCAATCATATTATCAACAATTTTTTAAGGATTGATATCAAGTTCGTGGAGAAAGATTAGGCATTGATACTTTTGACTTCTTTTTCTACTTCATACAAGAGTTTGGTTAAAACCCTGTTGTATGGGAAGAAGCCTTACACTACAGAGGAGATTAGGGGGGCCCTATTGGTCTATAATCATTGAAGGCAAAGTACTAATGATGGATCCCAAGGTGAATGGTTCGTAACAAAGGGTAATTAGGATTGTGGGAGATGTAGAGGAATGAATCAATCCATGCACAAGAAAAATAGGTGAAAATCTTAATCCAAGTAGGACCTAAAGTGCTACAAGTCTAATTCAAAAGGGCATATGAAGCGGGAATGTCCTAAGTGAAGACAGAGGGAATGGAAGAATGCAAAAAATCTAGCAAAACAAGATTTTTAGTTTGGTGATGGTGATATGCGTCAGTCTTTGCATATTATGATCAGATGGTTGTCTCATAGATTATGGATTCTTCTTATTCTTACCACCTCTCCTAATCGATATTATTTCGACACCCACAAGTAAGTAAATTTTCAAAATGTTTTAATGGGTAATAATGCATCATGTAAAGTCATTGGAATAGGTATAATTAGGATCAAGATGGTTAATGGTGCTATGAGAACTTAGGTTGAGGTTAGGTATACTCCAAATTTGGATTTCTTTTGGATGCTTAGACTCTAATGGCTATAATTACAAGGTAGAAGATGGAGTCTTGGAGATAACTAAATATTCTTAGGTTTTTATTAAACGTCAAAAGATTTTAGGAAAAATCTACAAGTTGGTAACGAGTTTTGTTATAGATGGAGTTTTTGTAGGTACATCTTTTGAGCCTAAAATAGATGACACTGTGGTTAGGACATATATGGTTGGGGCACATGGATGAGTGTGGCAAGATGGAGCTACATAAAATGAGCTTGTTGCTGGGGGTTAAATCATGCAGGTTGGATTTATACAAGTATTGTGTTCTATGAAAGCAGTGCAACATTCAATTCAAATCTATCAAGCACAAGATTATGGGCATCATTAATTACATACACTCTTTTGGGGGTAGTGAAAGTATCTTTAAAAGGAGGTTCCATGTATTATGTTACTCTCATTGATAATTATTTCAGAAAGGTATGGGTTTACTTCATGAAACATGAGCCATAAATGTTCAAAAAATTCAAATTGTGGAAAGCTGAAATTGAAACCAAACCAGGAAGAATATTATCTTAGAATAGATAATGGAATTGAGTATGAAGATGCGGAGTTTATGAAGTTCTATGAGGAGCGTGGCATCAAGAGACATCTTATAGTTTGTAAGACAACTCAATAGAATGGGGTGGAAGAAAGGTTGAACATAACAATTTTAGAAAGGTTTAGATGCTTGAGATTAAATGTTGAGCTTTCAAAGAATTTTGTGCCAAGATTGTGAACATAACATGTTACATCATTAATAGATCATCAAGGGATGCACTGAATAGAAAGGTTTTAGATGAGGTATAGATAGGGGGAGCAATATACTACTCCATTATGAGAGTATTTGGGTATCTAGCTTATGTTCATATTTCTACTGATGAAAGGTCAAAGCTTGATCCAAAATTCAACAGATATATCTTTCTCATATATGAGAAGGAGAAAAGGGGTAGAAGTTGTAGGATCCATGTTAGATCATGTATTCTAATTGGCTAATTTCTTGAAGTCTTATGTAATCTCAACTAAATTTCAAGGTCATAAAGATTCAAAGATTAAGATCCATAAGCGACAAAGGAAGGGAAGGATATCAAGTTATAATGCTACATAAAGACTACTTTGATGTACTTTCAAGCATAAGACAAATATAATGACTTTAGAAATCTAAATCCCTTGGTTTAATTTTAGATTTAGTTTGATTAATGAGAAAAAAATGGAATTTGGAATATTTGAAAATAACTCCTATGGTTTTTCATTGAAAATATTTTCTAAACCTTAAATGTGTTTTGAAAAAAGATAGTTTGAGTCATTTGTCGGATTCTATTTGACTAACATCCAGTAGTGCTCAATATGATAATTTTTTGCATAAAACCATTAAGAACCACCCTATGCTTGTTAGCCTTTGCTAGTGCAGTCTCTAACAAGTTAGGAAATTAAAAAAGGGTAAGACTAGGCGAATAGCATTAGGGACCGCCCAATGGGCTGCTCGAAAGATCTTAGAGATAGCTCAAGTGGTCCTAGTGTCGCTTGTGCTGCCTATGCTCTCTTGACTTGGTTTGAACCCATTTTTCAATCCAACAAGTACCACCCTTTGATCTTCCGCCTATTGCTAGAGTAGTCTAGAGCAATTTTTTGATTTCTTGATTTCCAAGACAACCATAATTTGTTGCCTATAAATAGAGGGAGTCTTTATCATTCTAGAGTATGCGTCTATAAGCTAGAAAAGACTCAAATATTTCTAGAGTGCTTCAAGAACAACCCTAGATCCCTAAGTCCAAAAAATCCAACAATCTTGATTCTTCAATTCAACCTCACACATTGAAGACAAAGATCTTACTTGGTGTCAACCAAAACCCACTTGGAGAAGTGTTCATTCGGAGAGTTTTGGGTGTGAAGCCTTGACGATTGCTTGAGGCTTAAATGATCCATCATGGTAGAGGCATTCAAGTGAACCCATAACTTTGGAGAAGGAGTTCCAAAGTAGAGATCTCTTGAAGGAAAAGAGAATCTAGCCTTGTGGATTAGTTGAGGTATAAAACTTGAGTACTTGTAGATTGAATTTGAGTAACTAGATTAGGTTGTGGTTAACCCTTGAGTGGTTCTTCGTAGTTTTTCCTGAGAAGGGTTCCCGTGTCAACAATTGTTGTGTCTCTTTATTGATGTATTTGCTTATATACTTGCAATTGATGCACACACCCGCACCATGTGTTTGATGAATTGATTGTTTATCTTTTAAGTCATTAAATAGGGATTTTCATGATTGAGACTTTGGTTGGAGATTTACGTCTTTATGAAATTAAGTGTTTATATTTCAACTCACTAATTCATACATCAATTCATATGAATTTTTTGGGTTATTTTTGTTAAAAAAACTTTCAAAGTTCTAATTGAAAAATTAACTTTAAAATTGATAATTGTGGTAGAATTAGGTTAAATGAAGCTAAATTTTAACTAACCTATTCACCCCTAGGTCTAATGTGAAATTCTTATGTATAATTGAGTGGAAAGATTCTTCATGTGAAGTGCAGTATTTACCCCATAATTGGTATCAGATCAAGGAATTAATTGAATTTCACTTTTTAGGCATCATTGTATATTTGCCTAATTGACCTAGTTTGTTAAAAGGCTTAACTCTAACTAGTAATGAAATCCGAGAGAATTTACTCCATTAGCTCTATTGAGGGCTCCTTGAGTGAAACTAGCACTAATTTAGGAGATGACATTCATGTTAGATGTGAAGTACTTTACATTGAGTGTCTTAAGCTAAAGAAAGGACACATTTGAATGAACAAAAAATTAAAAAATTTTGGAAGTGGCAATTATGTTCTAAAAAGAGAGCTTGGAGAGTCAAAGAGTGGATCCTTGAATTCAAGAGTGGGCATCACTAAGTTGGGTAATGAGAAGTTGTCTCTCATAGATTGATTCAGCCGATTACAGTGTGAGTTGAATGAATCAAAAGAGAAAAATTAAGATCTCAAATATAAATCTGGTAAACTTGAAAATGATCTTGAGGAATCGAAGAAACCCACAAGAAGGTTGTCCCTAGGCACTAAAAAGCTTGATAAGATGTTGAGTGTTGGAAGATATACATGTGACTAGAGAGGCTTAGGCTACATGGGTCAAATGTTTGCACCCTCTCCTTCTGCAGCCATGTTTGTCATAGCAAAGGACATACCTACTACAAAAATAGAGCATGTTCCTCTAAGAGTGTCAAAAGAAAAATGAGATTCACTATCAATGCATAACCCAAATAAGCTTGAGTCTCAACCTTTTTGTTCCTAATAAGGTTCTAGTTTGTCACACTTGTGGTGGACATGGTCACACTAGCACTCAATGCACATACCTTAGGGATGATATTGATAGAGAGCTAATTCAACTAGCCCGTCAATCCAAAGTCTTGAGTAGCCAAGTTTATATAGGATTGGAAAGAGGTTCTAAGATTCCCCCTAGGAAGAGGTGTTGTGAACCAAACTTGAGCAATCCTCATGAATTTAGGAAGCAATCCAAGAGAGGAAAAGGGTAAAAAGAAGGTAAATAACTCCTCAGCTCAATCCTCATCCAAAGTGTTTTACGAACAACGATTTCCATTTAAATTCAAGACCATTTGGGTGAGGAAACAACACTTGATAGATGCACTAAATATATAACACCTAAGAACAACCATAGGTGCATGTTTCATCACTTGAGTGAGTGTGCATTATTGACTTGTCCCTAGGAGTGACATGTTATATCATGCATTAGGGAGTGAGTCATTGGTAGCTTAGGATTTTTATTTGTTATTTTAATTTGTTATCATATATGAAAAATTACAAAAGAATTGTAAATTGATAATCCAAAAAAATTTGTGATGTCTAGTTAGACATTGTTTTAGGATTTATTGATAAATCCTATATGAAAAATTAATTTGTTATCATATATGAAAAATTACAAAAAGAATTGGAAATTGATAATCCAAAATGTTTGGGATGTCTAGTTAGCATTGTTTTAAAATTTGTAATGTCTAGTTAAAAAAATCTTTTATTTTTTCTTTATTGTTGCATTTTGTGCATAATTTTTTTTTAGGTTATTTGTGAAAAATTAAGAACATTGACAAAGGAAAAGCTTAAAAAGATTTTCTTTTGTTGTTGATCATGACAAATCACTCTTTGATTTAGGTCATACTTTTTCCATCCTTAAGATAAAGTTGAAAAGTGCAACCCCTATTATTTATTTTAATTTTATATTAGATTATTATGTATTGTGGAGCTTGATAAGTAGGTGATTGTTAAATGACTATTGTAGGATTTGTTTAGGTAGAAGAAAATTAGGGTTTTGTGGTACTAATCTTGTGGAGGGATGGATTTAGTGAAATCATAAAAATAATTAGATAAAAATAACATCAAAAAAGGATTCGAAGCATTGAAAAACGTTGGGATAGGTGATATTAGGTGTCTTGGAGTTGAAGTGTATATTAGAGAAAGTTTGGGTTTGTAAGAAATTTGATACTATTTAGAGTGTAGGTCATAACGTTTTACCCTGATGTATGATTGACCTAATTCTTGTGGTATTAGAAAGTAGAATTTAAGGACTCCAAAAAGTATTTAAATTTTTTTTATAAATTGACTTCTAATTTGGTCAAAATGGGCTTGAAATACTTGGGATATGTTACAATATCTGGAAGCACTTTCGAACGCAGGAGATTCTCTTGAATGCAGGACAAGTCTAAGTAATTTTCAGCAGACATCATAGGAGATACTAAGAGCACAACCCGTTCGAATGCCAAACTTTCTGTTCAAGCAGAAGGCAACTCATTTGAACGAGCATGAGCGATTCTTCACAATTAGATCCGCACCGCCTCAACTATTTTTCACCCTATAAATACCCTGGAGATGTGTTTTAAGTCTATTTTGTAGTTTCTAATCCTAGGAGGCCTAAAGGAGTTGGGAGAGAATAAAAAGGACAAGATCTCCAAGGATTAACGTATATAAATCGCAACAAAACGCTTTAGGATCAATTAACTGCGGTCTGAGGTAGGGTTTTTTTCTCAAATCTATTCATTGAGGATTATGGTTACTATATCTAACTTTTTTACTCTTATATCAATATGTATGATAGATCTACAATGTGTTTACACTCTTTTTATTACATAATTCATTTCTTCATTAAATACACGATTTATATCCAAAATTACACATTCTTGATGAAAAATAATAGATTTTGATTATGGTCAAATTAGATATATCTTTTTACGATCTCTTGCATGTTTTGATTGGATTACTCTTCTATTTTGAATTTGCAGAATTACGAATTGTGAGATATGTGAATTTTATGAAAGTATGGAAATGTCTCTTGTATGGGTGAGTGTGATGAACATAAATAGTACTCGAATTTATATCTTAGAATGTTTAGATGAAACTACATATGATAGTTTTGTTTTGATGATCGAAGGGGAAATATTTATTTATTTAATTTTGTTTTAGCTAGTTATGGAATTGTCTTCTACTTGAGGTTTGGTTGTAGCTTGAATTATGTTTTTTATATTTTTGGATTTTAGTTAGTTGAAGTTGAATGATGGTTGTTTTATATTGATTTTATTTAGTATGGTCTCATGGTTTAATGGATGTTAGTTAGTTCATGCCTAATTATTATTGGAATTGGAGCGTGACAAAAAGTGCATTACTATGATTCATATTAGAGGATAATGAACTTAGTGGTTATTAGTCTTAGTGCTTGATCTATAAACCAAATTTTATTTCTCCTTTGTGTGCTTGCATTGTGTAATTCTTAATAAAAATCATAAGACCAAGTGCACGCCCAACCATTCACCTTCACACTCAGGAGCCTTACTAGTTTGAATGATTGATGGTCTTACATGATTCTAAGTGTTGGTGATAGGTAAAAACATAGCTTAAGGTTAATCAAAATCCAATCCCTTACAAGATGCCAAAGAGTAAAATGTGAGAAAAGAGCCCAATGAGGCCAATTAAAAAGTGACATAAAAATAAATGGCTAGTGACAATTGCACTTGAATTGTTTAGAGTACTATATGGTTAATCTCATTGATTACCTATAAGGTCGACTAAAACATGTTTAGAAGCATGCCATGTGCTAATTGAGGCCATAATGAGTATATGGGATAAAAGATAGGAGGAGTTGTCAAAAATAAATTGTATAGGACACCACTAA